CATGACATATATATAATGCTATTTTTTTCTTATTTGTTACTCTGTGGTTTAGTTCCTCCTGAGTATATCATAACTTTCATGTCATACATCTGAGTTCCATCCAAGCAGTATATATTTCTTCCCACTCTGTAAACAGAAGTAGATTAACTGGTTATACCGTAATGTTTATGTCATGGGATTTTTCAAGGATCTCCCTGAGATAAAGAAGCAAAGCTAAGGCAAAGCTTAGTTAGGCAAGTGTACATTCATTTCGACCTATTTAAGGATGTCCCTAATTTCACTTGCATTTGCTTTTTTTTTTTTTTTTCCTGGTAGACCACAGATGTGGCTTAATTCAAAGTACAGATTACCTGTGTAGAGGTTATGGCTACATGGCTTGTGCTTTCCAGACTAGTAGGATGAGTGGTCTTCCTGCATGGTGGGCAGTTTTGCTTGTGTAATTATTTAGGTATTTTTTGTAAGTGGAGTGTCCAGAAAGATTTCCAAACTCCTGACAAGTATAAGGAATTAGAGTAAATGTACTGAAGAATGAAGCAGGTTCTTCAGTATGTTCCAATCTTTTTTTAGCTATAACAGTAGCGTCCCTTTGGACATACTTACATTCTGGCTCATGCTGTTGGCCTTTATCCAAGTAGTATCCAAGTGGCCTTTATCCTGGAGCTCAGGTAGACAGTGAAAAAGCTGTGGCAATGCAAATTAATAGGAAGTTTTGGTCCTGCTAGAGATATTGAGAAAGAGCCAGTTTTGGGGCATTATTCATTTAAATGGATTTTGACAAGAGTAAGTAAAGGAACAGTCACTTAATGTCCATGGTTTTTTCCTAGTTCTGTCAAATTCAGTTTGTCTATCTTAGAGTTATTATGGTGATACCATATGTGGGAACCATTGGGTCATTCAGGAATTTTTTTGCAGTATTTTTTTGATGTCTGTTTGCTTTTCACTACAAAAAGTCCTCCAAAAACCCCAAGTGACTTTAACAGCATTGAGTAGACACAGTTCAAAATTGTTTAGAGGCAATTTCTCATTATAACTTTATAGAATAAATGTGACATTTCCACCACAGGTAGACAAAGACACCTAGGCCTAGACATTTGGAGATGCTACTGGAGATGACCTGTGGTATTTGAGACATCCCCATAGGGCTGTCGGATATGATGCACATCGTATGGGGTATCCAGGCAGTGGCAGCTGGAGGCCAAGCATCCTGTGCTGGGCAAGGAATTGAGTCAATGCTGTTTATTTGTTAGACAAGTTTCTTTGTGGGTTTGTTTTGTTTCTTCTTTGTTTGTTTAGTTTGTGTTGTTGTTGTGACATGTGCTGTGTGGAATATTTAGTTACTATAAACCATAATTCTTGAGATCTTGCTATTGAGACCTGTCCTCACTGGAATCATAAGGCAGTAGGGTGTTGCCTTGTAACTACATAATAAAGTTACTAGCTGTTGATGTTCAATGTAAATAGGTTTGAGCTGATACTCCTTGTAGAAATACGTTCAGCACTTTGCAATCTAATTTGAATTTTGATGTGAAGTAAGTCAATTCTGGAGCTGGGCTAGAGACTGATCCTGAAGGTTAGGAGTGAGAAGCATCAGCAGATTAGTGCTGCTTAGTGCATGGCTGAATCAGGTGCTATCGCTGTGACATGTTTTTCCTATTGCTTTTGAAATATTTTGTGACATTCAGCCTTATGTTAGGTACTTAGCTGTCAATAAATTCTGTGGCTAAGAGGCCATGTTCTCATGTCACACTGCCCCCAGCTATGACAGCTGCAGAGTCTACAGAGCTGTGTGCTGTAATGAGGCAAGAAAATTGCAGAAAAGTAAATAATTGTTACAGTAGGTAGGTATGTTAAAAATTTAACTGTTTTGAGCAGCACAGGCAACTGGCATTTCAATCACTTTGCATAAGATATTTTGTGGCTGTCAGCACCCAGATGAAGAGGAGCTGTAATGCAGTGTGATAAAATACCCTAAGGACAGAAAGAACCTGAACACATACAAAAATGCCCCAATGGATCAAGGAGGGATCAAATCATATAAGCAAGGTGCTTATGTACACTGCTAGTTAAAACCTGCACATTTCTTTTCTAGTAACCTTCTGTGCTTGAGTCCTTAATTGCTATGGAATTAAGAGTTTTATTCTGAAGAAGTAACATTTTTGAGTACATTTCAGTTTACATGAAAACTAGGGGGCTGAAAGCAGTGATTTGGGGCATCCATAGTTTAAACAGCACTGAACTTCTAGTTTCTTACGCATGCCAGTTCCCTCTGTTTTACTAATAATGCATTTCAATTTTGCACATTTTTCAATTTGGTTTTTTTGCTATGATTTTAATATCAACCAGCATCATACCTTTGGTTTATGGGCAGACAGAATTGAGTCCACCATGTTAATGTTCCGCACCACCTGAATTGGAACGAACCTATTTCCAAAGGCACACTTATTTTGTTCTTCAGCTGGCTGCAAAACTTGCTTCCCAAAAGAAATCTAACTAGAATTTAGTCATCAGATATCCTGACAGCTACAATTTCAAGATTCTCCTGAATAACTTGCATGCACAAGAGCTAGCTACCTCCTGTAAAAAGGGCAGCTTGCCCTGTGTGAGAGGTGTGCATTCTGAGTCTATCCTAGAGGTTACTCAGACTTGCTTTCTTCAGAAGCAAGGCCAGTTGATTTTTTTTCTTTTTTTTTTTTTTGCTGGACAAACAAGAGAGAAATGGGAACTGGGGACCCAGTTCAAGGTGGTTGTAGCTTCTAGTAAGTTGCCAAGACACAGTTTTAAAGCCTGATAGCATCTCTTGAATGTGACCATATGCAATGCCAGAGATGTGTGCCTAAGCAAAATAACTGGTGTGGTAAATGCTTACACAGCTGGTGACGGGTATATATATGTATATGAACATATACATGTGTAGAGAGTGAAATAGAAACCCATATACTGGCTCTTTGCTCCCCTAGAGAGAAGCCTGTTCCAGGGCCTGAGCAGCCTGCCTTCAGTAAGGCTTAGGAAAAGGACAAAACTGCCCCAGGGTCTGCACTGGTACTATTTGTCATATTTTTATTACTTGTTTACTACAAATAAAAATATTGTAGCAGCTGAAATGTTTCAGCATTACAGATTTCATTATTTTCAGATCTGAAGTGCAGTGTGTCTGATCCTAATTGCACAATTTAAATACTAATAATCATTCAGCTAGGCGAGTCCTCTGTGTATTACAGATAATAATCCTTGTTTTAGAAAATGTACATAATGGGTCCACGTTCATCATCTGTGTAATTCACTGAAGTGGAGACAAATGTAATAAAATGACCCCTGAGTAAAGAGATCTTTTTGTTTTAGTTTTGGAAGGGAAAAATTTTCCTGTCATTCCTGGATGAGCTGATTAATTTTTGCCTTCATTATACTCCTGTTTTCCACTGCACTGCAAAGCATGAATAAGCCTGTGGCCACTTTTCTCTGACCGTTTAGTCCCCCATTTTTCTCTGTGTTAATTATTTTTTCATTTCTGTTCTTATCAAGTCCAAGCTTGCTTGCCAATGATTGAAATTCTGGTCTCAGCAGGACCAATTAGACTAATTTATTTATATGGGTTAAATTCTCTTGAAATGCTTTGCTTTGGAGTTGTATTTATCAGCAGTGTATTTTTTCTGTGCTATACCTTCCAAGTGTTAAGCTGCATTCAGTGAAGAGATTTAAAGAGAAACAATCTATTTCCTTTGCAGTTATAATGAGATAATATCTTTGAAAGGTGCCTCCATTAGTTACCTATATAACTTATTTAATATTGTAACACTGGTTTGGCTGAAATACAACAGTAAAAATATAAGTAGTGTATAAATTACAGTCTATAGTTCTTCTCAGACTGTTATCTAGAGGAGCTGCTCTGTCTACGTCATTCTGTATCTGAGGAAAAATAAGGATAATTTGGGATTTTGTGCCAGCAGATGCCTTCCTCCCCCTCCTCAGCCCCACTCCCAAAGCTTGGGCTCAGTTTTCTTAGTACTGAAACGTGGAAATTGTGGAAGGAAATCTTAAGAACTTAAACATTATGGTCGTTTTCAGTGAAACTGTACTAACCTTTGCCATAAAGGCTGTCATTATAAGGACCTGTAGAGTTGGAGCACAGGAACTGAGCAGGCAGCAGAGATCTATGCACATTTGTGAAATGGCAGTGATGCTACAAACTGGCAGCTTGCAGCCAATCTGACTGGAGATCCGTGCATAGCAGGGGAATTCCCCACCTCCAGTCTTACAGGGTTTGCATGGCAGTGGCAATTGGCAGGATGTGATCCCTTCATGTGTGATAGGTAACAGCTCTCCAAGTCCCACGCTGCAATTGTCTTCAGGCTGCTTTGTAGAGCCTCATTTCAGTGGAGTCAGGGTGGTAAACATGTCGCTGTGGTGACTGAAACTGTTGCTGTATTGGTGCTACGTTTGAGCAAGCACGGAAAAGAGACAACACAAGCAGGCTGAAGGTTTCTTTGAAAAACCTTTTCTGTTTAAATTTAGAAAATTCTTTGCCAAGTCTCCCAGGGATCTTTCCAGAGACAGTGAAAGTGCTTATAAATAACCCCACACCCTAGTAACAATACATAACACAACCTGGATTGCTGGAATTTCAGCATCTCCTGATCAGCTGAGTATTGTGCAGCTGTCAGGGCTCTGCAGCTTCTCTGTATTGCTGACTGCCAATAATAATAATAATAATAATAATAATAATAATAATAATAATAATAATAATAATAATAAAATTACAAAGCATAAAAGATTTTTATGGTGTTTTAGGAATTGTTGATAACTCTTACTAGTGCAATATTTCTTCCTGTTTAATTGCTATCAGCAAAAGTGTGAGTCTGTAGCATGAGAAATGTGTGCCAGTAGCAACAGCATTTTGGCAGACCAAAAGTGCATTGCACTCTCACTGGGCTTTTGAGCCTAAACAATGTCTAAAGTCCTCGGTCCTGTAATGCTTCCTTTTTTTCCCCTCATTTTTGCCATAGGTAGGGGAGTTCAGAGCCCATGCTGCAGAGTGGACAGCCAATGTCACCGCCGAGTTCAAAGAAACTCGAAGGCGCCTGAGCGTGGAGATCTACGACAAGTTCCAGCGGGCTACCTCTATCAAAAGGAAGCTCTCTGCAGAACTTGCCGTCAACCACAATCAAGACCTGACTCCCTGCAAGAGAACACTGTCAGTCAACCATCTCACCAGTGAGAAGGACATCTTACCAGCTCTGTCAAAGACAGACAGCATTTACATGAATGGTTTGACACCCCACTGTGCAGCAGAAGAGATAGCCGTCATTGAAAACATTAAGTAGCTGTGACTTTGGATCCCAGCCCTTGGGAAGCTCTTGGCTTAGACTAGCCATATACATTTCTTCTCCACCCTGTCAATGATCAGTGCTAACAGCATTTTGTATGTGTGCATGAGTTCCACAGAAACTACAGTCCAGAGTTACCATCGCATCTCTTCAGAGACACCAAGATGAATGGCACTTCTGTTTCCGAAAGATGCTGGAACAAGCAATGTCTTCTGCCTTTATCTGCCCAGACTGTTTTTCACTTCTAATGTGCCATATGGCCTCACGAATGAATCACACTTGTTTATGGTAACAATGTAGCTTTGAGGGATCAGTCCTTAAAATTTCAGGGTCTACCTTACTGAGCCTAGGAATGGACCGTTTCTGAACTACAACACATTTGTAAATGGCAAGAAATTCTTATGCAGCCTTTTACCTAAGAAATTTTTGTCAGTGCCTTATCTTTTGAAGAACCAGAACCTCTACAGTTCCTGTATAACTTTTGTTTGGTTGTTTACTTTTTTTTTTTTTTTTTTTTTTTTTTTTTTTTTTTTTTTTTTTTTTTTTTTTTTTTTTTTTTTTTTTTTTTTTTTTTGCATGAGAAGTGTATTTCATTTAAGCTTTCATTCTTCTTGAAATGATGGTGTTTCAAAGGTGTCTGTCATGAGGATACCAACCAGCATGAATGATTGCCAAAACTCAACAATGATCAATTGATGTTCTTAGCTCCAAATGTAAAGGCACTGCAGTTTCAAAAGTTGCAAACATGTCCCCTAGAAGCATTTTGTTTTACTCAGGTCCAGCTGATCATTTTTCACACTGACTGGTAGAATTTGCAGCATTTGCAAACCCTTTTCTGGTCTTATTTTTCCAAGCAGTGTTCAGCAGTTGTTTTTCTCTGCATCAGATGTACCAAAAAATCTGCATCTGTCACTAAATTATTTGGTAGATGACAAGAGCAAATAAAAATTACAGTTTTGATGAGAGGCAGGGAAGGCTTTTAATTGCTGTATTCTAATAATCACATCCAGAAAACAATGCAGAAGAATACAGCTATTTTTAATAAGCATAAACCTTCTGCCGGATGCTTGGTATGAAAAGGATTCTTAACTTTTTGAGTCAAGTCACACCAGAAGCCACCCGACATTTTACCCAGGAATCCTGCTGGAGTGCTTTCCTGAATGTCACAGGGGCTGCCTGTGCTGGAGTTGAGACTAACACGGGAATGCAATTGAAACTGGTATCACTGTGACTTTCTACATTTCAAATAGAGATGGCTCTGAATATAAGTGCAGGCATGAAGAAGAGCTGATAAATAGCACAATCTGAATACTGATGATTGTTCAGACAGGATAGGCTGATGAGAAGTGGATCTAAACCAGACTGTGGGTTTTCTTTATTGGTTTTAAGAAAATATTAATTTTGTATCATCTGTTTTGCTAAGAGGTGTACATGAGATTCAGAAGAAATGCAGGATGGAATGGATAATTTTGCATTTTTTTTTCTTATGTTAGTCTATTGTAACCTGGCTGTACATAAAATGAATAGAACAGGCCTTAAAGAATAATTTAGGCTCTGTGTAAATTAAAAATGGGACTTTGCTGATTGGGCATGATTCATGTGGCAAATCTTACAGCATCTCTGACCATTAGATAACATGCAAGACATGAATGTTAACGTTTTTTGGATGCTTAGCTTGTTTTCTAATAAATATAAGTTAATATGTAAATTCAGTGTAAATATCAGTCAATTAACATTTACAGAGAGTACGCTTTTAAAACTAAGAAAGTTCCATGACACAGCACCGAGCAATGCTCTTATAACAAAGACCCTTGTTTCCCCAGCACAGTGTTCTGAATGTCCACATGGCAAAGGTTCTTCTTGCCATGTATAAACTGTGAATTGTAATGAAAAATAAAGTTTTTAATTAAAATAAGCTTTTCTGAATCTCCTGCTTGCTACAACTGGAATGCTAAGAAGTAATTTGTGAAACCGATTTTTGTGCTTACATTGGTTACACATTACAGCAGTTTGCCACCTGCTTCAGTTTACGCTGGTTTAGCAATAAAGACTTGACTCACCCAGCACAGAAATTACTATTTTTTGTTCGTTATTAAAAATAATGTCCTTTGGTTGCCATACCTTGAGTTTCTTGCTATTTTGTTTCAAAAACTTATTAGGATGCAGTTTCTCCTGTCATGCATAATAGAGCTGGTGGTGATTACTCTGTCTTTGCACTGAGGGAAGTGCACCAGGTTCTGCCCTGCTGTCCTGATGGTTCCCATGTGGTTGCTTCTGCAGAAGCATGTGAATCAGCAGCTCTGAGGACAGCAGCCTTTCACACCGGAGCAGTTGTTTCTACAGTGAATATTTTACAATGACGTCTCTCATTAGGTCTTGGCCAATGGAAGGAAAGCCCACACCAGCATGGGGGTAAGTGAGGAGGACTGGGTTTTTGTGTTGTTTCAATCTGATTTGTGTGGGATGCGTTTTAGTGCCTTTTAGAGCTGATTTTGTTGGAAAAGGACAGGTAACGGTCAATGATTATTGCCTTTGATACTCTGAGATGTTATATCTTATTTTAAAGCCTTGTATCACTCTAAACAGCTTATTTCCAGTTACCAACATATAGAAATGTGCGGGTTTGTGATTTCTTTCATTTTAAAGAAACTCTTAGGTGTCTCAGGACTCGCTGGAAAGAGCACATTGTTTGGACATCCTTTGACAATGTTTGAAACACTAGTATGGATATTTGTCCAATCCATTTAGTTTTTATTTGCTTTGATTTTTTTGTATGATCTCTGAGAAGAGAACCCCAGATAGTTCATATAGATAAGATATTGTTTTGTTTTTTCCCTTTTGTAACAGATCTAAATTATCGTCCCCTATCAAAGTAGATTTGCCTGTTTGGAACAAAGCATTAACAAATAAAATCCTTTTATTTGAAGCTTAATAACTGAAGAAGAAAAGATGCCACAGTCCAGATGGTGTAAGTAGATAGAGGTTATTCACGGTATCCAGACGTGTCTAGTACCGCTGAAGTTACTGGAAAATCTTTCTCTCCCTCTCCACATACAGTGATAGACCACAAATGCTAAGGATGGCTAAGTTGATTTATAATACTAGATGAACTCTGCAAAGGTTTTTCTATTCCTTTCCATAAGAACAGATTTTTGTATTAAAAAACCTGTCTTTCTTGCCACTGGAAATTATGAATAGCTCATTCTGCCTTCCAAATATGGAGCTATGAAAGCATGAATTAACATATATTTGTACCCTCTTTTCTGTCACCCATACATGGTAACATTTCAGACTGTTAACACACTTAGTACTTAAGCAAGTTTGTGAAAATGGTCATAGGTTGTTTTCTTTTCTACTGCCAATCAAGTACCATTATAAAAATCAAAAGACATTGGCAAAATGTTCTGTATGAGAGACATGTTGCAGCACACAAGACTGCAAAGGCACATATGCCACCTAACAGAATAATTTATTTCTCAGTATTAAACATTGCATTAATAATAGCAATCTGAAATCTCTTATAGCAGTAGCTAGAGGTGATTTGCATTGTTTACTGTTGGCTGTGATAATCTTGTCTCTTTTTTTATTTGGTGACTATATATGGTAAAGTTTGTCAAACCCTCCATTTTTGGACAGCGCTGCATGAGCGGCGAGGAGACTGAGTTGCAGAGAATTTGTACCATGCCCCATTCTTGCTTGAGTACCAGGGCAAGAGCTTACTTTGGCATCTCCTCCATGCATTGTAGCTCCAGGCTGCCTGTCCTCCTCTTTCTAATATTTAGCTACTGTTGAAGTGCTACTGTCAGAGCTGCGAAAAGCACAGAAGGCCCAGAAGCTTGCTGGATCTCATGAACATCCTAGCCATGTCTCCTCTCTTCACCTCTTCCTGACTCAATAGGAGGAAAGCTGGAGGGTAACACAGGAGCCCACAGAAGAGCTAAACCTCCACAGGTACCACCCTTGTCCTGGCATGGACCTTCCTTAGGTTACTTAGGTCAAACTGTAAGACCAGGATGGCAGGTGGGAGAAAACCTGGTCTGCATGTTTGTTTGGAGTTCCTGCTCCTCCAGAATTATTTCTACACCAATGCCCTCTAAATAAGAACACAACACACCCCACAGAAAAAGAAATGCAAGGTTGCTCTCCTTAGTGAGCTCTACATGGACATCAAAAGTCTATATACATAGGTAACTATTTCCTGGGAAGGAAATTTTCCTGTCAGGGAAGCTTCATACAGTGTCGAAATACAGCAGTAATACTTCTAATAAATTGCTGTCATACAGTTATGTGGTAATTACCTTTTATTTCCTACGCTGCAGTACTGTTTGAAAGGAACAGATTTTCTATATTTAGAGAAATACACGTTTTACATGACTTTCAGAGTTAATTATTTTGTCATTAAAAAAAATTAATACTTTTTTTTGGTTTATGTTGCTCTGTGGATTTAAATGAACAACATAACCTTATGGAGAATAAAGTGTTCCTTTTGGGAAAAGTAGACAAGATTCTCTTTTACTGTTATTGGAAATAACAAGCTGTTGAGCTATGTGGAGATTAAAAAAGTTAACTCTTTCATTTGAGCAAGCATTCTTTGCTTTACCAAATCACTCTTACAATTATAAAGAGCTGGTGTGAGAATCGAAAGGAGCAGGTTTATTATACTTAGAAAACTTGAGCTTTTCAATTTTAGGTATTGCTTATCATCCTCTTACAAACTTTCAGAGAAATATGTCGAATAAGCTTGTAAACAAGTACATTACTTATTGTAGAACAGTAAGTACCCTTTATAAATAACAGCTGATACAGTAGCATATACAGCTTTATATTCTGCACTCAGATATATTTGTGCCTTCAATGTATCAACATTGTTGTATCATCTTAAATTGACTGAAATACCCACCTTGGTGTATTGACTATTGTTTCATGCAAACTTAGTGATTTAAAAATATAGCTCAGTTTTAAGTCAGTATCTTAGAAAATCAATAGACTTCAGAAGTTTTTATGAATTACAACAGTCTATCTCCACTGGTGATGTAATAAATAATATCTTATTGATTGCCTGGTTTAGTTATTTCTGAATGTTTAGCTGTTTTCCTAGTCTAGTTGCTGTAGACAGATTATTATGAAGAAAGCAACTCATCTCTCCATGGTTTTTAATCAATACACTATGACAGGCCTGCTAGTATTAGAATTCTTAGTGGCTGAAACTGGGGTAACACATTATGTTCTGTCTCCAGTGTTACAAATTATTATTAGTAGTATTCATTAAATGCTCTGGGTGCGCTGATTTTTCTGGAAATGTCACAAGAGTGTTTATATAGACATCTCTAGTCTGACTTTGGCACACAAATGTCCTTAGTCAGAAACTCCTTTAGAAGGATTTACTATATTAATTCAATTGTTAATAATAGCTAATTCTCAAGACTAATTATATACAGCCAGATCTTTGTCCTCCAAAGTAAGGCATATAATATGCATATAATAGAGATTCTCATGG